CTGAAACTCAAGTTTAAGAACTAGTCATTCTGGAGGTGTCATAGCCTTGAAAGTACCAGGCTGCAGTAACAGAATTTGCAGAACAAAACTGAAGCCAGAATAGAACTTACACTAAGTATTTAGCCAAAATATTAAAATTCAAATGGACATTCAAGCTCCAATTTGGCTTTCTTTAAAAAAAAAAAAAAAAGAAAGACATAGTAATTCCATCTAAGCTATAAGAACTAAGTTACTGAGCATTCCTAGGTTCAGCTATTCAATGAGAACAGCAGACAGGTATCACCTACAGAGGCCTTTCAGGTCTAAACTAAAAAACTCCAGCAGAATTTGGAAATCTTACTAACTTCTATGAACACAGCCTCATTTTTTATCCATTGATCACCAAAATGGTTAGTCCCAATGGAAGCAGGTTCCCTTTCTGTGCTACACAGGGTAGTGCAAGCTACTCTCCACATCATTTTCAAATCACTCTGTTCTTCCACAGCAGTTGTGTCCTCTGCTCGGAGATTTCCTCTTTTGCAGATGCCTCAACACATACATGGAAGCAGCTTCTAAATGGGAATGGCTAAATGATATCTAACTTATTCCCCATTTTTTTTACTCCATGTATACAGTTTGCCCAGTATCTCCAAGTAAGCTACATGGAGCATCAACTGCAGGTGAAAATTAAAAATGGGAACTGATTAAGCTCGGGAGAGAAGACAGAACAAAAATCCCTTCGCTGTGACAGATCCCTCAGCTGTGAGCAGGTAGCAACGTAAGTATCTACGTAATGATATTTATTCATAGCTACTTGCTCTTTCTTATCTGTTATGCAAGGTGGAACTACAGCGTGGACAGTTCTTATAGAAAGTATTTCAGTTCCCGTCTCTCAGTGTAAGAGGAGGTGACACCGCAGCATGTATTAGCACTAGAAACACTTAATTGCGTGAATTCTGTCTATGTCTTTCTACTTCTTCTGTCTTTGTGGTATTTTAAACAAAACTCCATGAAAGCTCCTTAAAGGTCTCATTTGTATGTGCAGATCAAAGGCAAAATAACTATTTGAGGTGCTTTCATTATAGAGATTTTTCTTTAATGTGGTTATTCCTCAAATAATTCTTAATCTCCAAATGCAATTTAAATACAGCTATACCTGGTTAATCCAATCAATTTAGAGAGAGTTGTTCTAGTTAGATTAACACAAAACTCCAGAACTGGCTCATCAGTGATAACTCTATGATGTGAGACTGGTTACCAGCTAAACATGCAAGGCAGAGAGACAGTTGTAGAAATCATGGTGGATTAACTGGACTTGACTGTATCTAAAAATAAGTGCTACCCATAAAATTGCTAGAACATGACAAAACACAATTGTCACAAAAATATCGCCAGTGATTCTTGCAAATAGATTCTTAGAAAGTTAGGAAGGTGCACTGCTGTGAGATAAACGTGCTGAGTGAAAAATCTGCTAGACTATATCTAAATAAAATATCCTGCTGCGCACAAATACAAAACAAAGACCATGCTGTTGATATACTGTTTTTTTATCTTTCTTTGGCCCCCAGGGGTCTATGATAAGTCCATAGCTGAAAACCAATTTCAGGTATGATGAGATTAACCAGGTGCATTAATTATCTGATGGCAAAAGAATTTAAGGGCAAACAAAAACGCACTATATTATACATCTTCTCTCTGCCCTAGGACTGATCCTGAAAGATCAGTCTCCTATTTTGTTCTAAACGTCTTCAGTTGGGAGCTTATAGGAGTTTAGGGAATTCAGCATGTTGCAGGACTGTATCTATTATGCCTAAATCCGATTATATATAAATACAGTGGGTTTAGTTCTCATTTACACTGTCAGATAATGTATCAAGACCTTGATGTGAATGAGAATCAGGTTTGTGATTGCCCAAATTCAGCCGAGCACTGAAAGTGAATGTTTAATGCAAATATGTGTGTGGTCCAATAGACCCCAAATTAAGCATGCGCCTACATATTTTGTTGAGCAAGAACCAGTGTTTGACAAAGATAATATATTTCATTTACAGATCTCTGTTAAATGAAATTAAGCAGACATAAGTGCAAAAAGAAGAATATAATACTCACTTCTTGGCTCCCTTGGCCCATCCACCGTAACCTTTATAGCTCTGTGGTATGTAGCGACTTGGGGGGGATTTGTCAGGACAGTTATTGTCAAAGTAAAGCTCTTCCCTACAAAGGGAAAAAAAAAAAAAACAACGAGGAATGAGTGATTACAGCATGAAAACAGACACATGCATGTTCAGTAAAGAATCAGAGACGTTTAAAATTATTCCCTGTCGTTACCACAATCGTGAAAATTAAAAACATAACTGACCATAGGAGTTTTCTTCCCCTTCAGTTTTACTCTATGTCAAGAATATGTCCATGTGTTGACAATCTAAATGTTTCTTATTTAATAATGGGTCATCATACAATGACAGAACAAAAGTGATTCACTGCTGAGGACAAGCCAAATTCTTTGCTATATTGAAAGTGGTGTAAATCCAAAGCAAGTCAGATAATTTAAAAATTTACTCCAGTTTTGCAGCTGTGCGACAGAGAGCAGAATGTGGCCACATGTTATTTACTTCACACAGTTTTATCATTTCATTTGTTTGACTTGACTACAATAAGATGAGGAAAGAATATATTTTCCTCCTGGGAGTCATTTTAACAGGGAATCAGTGTCTCCTGTCCTTCATATGCCAGGGGTAATATGATGATATCATTATTACTGGAACACGCTTTTTTCCCCTACATATATTCCATCTATGAAATACTAAGAAAGCCCCCAGCTTTCCCATGAGGGTGAGAAACTGCTGTGTGCACGTACGTTGCTATCGTAAGTCTGCATTTATTTTTTTTAATTATTATTAATATTTTTCAAAGTTTGAATTCATGCAGAGATTGCACAAGCTCATCCGCAGCTTTTAGCTGAATGAAAACGTTAAAAAAAGAAATAAATAAAGGGAGCTGCTTGCGTCTGAGCACACATTCTCACAAAGAGCTGGCCCCCGTTCGGGAGACTCACTGACAGTTGTAATCTGTTAGATACGCAACGGTTAGTCATGTCAGATAGTCAAAACTGAAAACTGTTTCAAGACAGGAAAAGGTGGGCGTACAACAGTGACTCAATAAAACAGTCAGCAATCTTCGGCCTTCGTGCTCATTTAAGCTGCTACTTTACCAGACACTTAAAACTCTTTTTTTTTCCCCCTTCCCTGTGTGTATTCGTGCATTTTTTGTTGCTGGGGCTTTTCCTCTTGCTGAACTCTGAAGGTATTCAATCAAGACACAAATTTTAAACGATATGTAACAGTGCAAACTTAATGCAGTTTTTTTCCAGCCTGATATAGAACAGTTTATATATAAGGCATAATACAGAACAGAGCTTTGGCTGTCACATCTAGTAATTGGTCTTTCTTTCTGGTCCAAGTCATATATCCCCCAAACCTGCCTAAGACACATTTATTGTCAGGAGTGCAACTTCAAACCATCTTGGTTATATTTTTCACAAACTAGAATGTGACATGGATTTTCTTTTTTTAAGGAAATACAACTATCATTTAGAGTAAAATGATTTTCCAGGTGTAGCTGTGCTCCAGCTATGCCCACCTCTCCCAGAGACGCAGGTTAGAGGGGAGGTCAGGATACTGGCAAGGGTGCAAAAATCTCAGGAGGTTGAATTCTGCCTCTGTGGCAACGTGCGTCTGAAGGCATCTTTCCCCCATTTCATGGGGAAATGGACTATTTCACAGATCTTTCAAGACTGACCATCACAGGAGTGGCCAGGTGTACACAGGACATCCAGTCTTTGTCCAGTCCTGCCCACCAACAGTCCCCAGAGGCAAACTGTGTGCCCTGCCAACATACAGTGTGTGCCTAAGCAGCCTTCAGAGATACAGCAACAGCCCTGATGAAGCACATAGTGCCTCCACACCTGCTTGCTCGGGGCTGAAAAGGGTCCATGACCTTTATCCCTCTCCAAGTAGGAATTCAGCCTATTGCTTGGATATATATATAACTCACCAGGGACAGGTTTAAAGCCTCCTTCAGTGCCAGCTTATCAGGTCGAAAAGTTCTGACTATGAAATCGTGTGATGATACCATTCAGATCACAGATACCCATATGGAATGGGTAGAATATAATTGGTAACAAATATACTAAAGGTATTTTCCATGTACCTTTGAATGAAGAATGTGGCTTTCTGATGCTACCAGTCAATTTATATGCCACACTAGTATAAAAGTCTATCATGGCTAAAAATTAACCTGACAATATATACTGTTTGTAAGACCCTGTAAAACCATGTCTGTGTGATTTTCTGCACTAAATATATCTCAACAGGATACAGTGGCTAGAAAAAATGCATTCCTTCATATCGAAGAGCTATGTTTCGACCTCGCCTGTGAGTGCTACTAATTTCTCACCTCTCAGCCAGCCTAAGCTCAACAGGTAAGTGCCTAATCTGAAGGAGAAACTGTTTTTCTTCCCTAACTGGTATTCTACCAAACTGAAGTATTAATGAAGTAGCACTGATGAAGCCCCTTTGCACTCAGTAAATACATCACTTCATCATGGGGAGCTCAGCCAGCACACTCAGGTTCCAGAGCTTTCAAGTGATGATTTACATATTATAGGACTGAGAACAAAATAAATTTTTAAGGTCGCCTGTTTCAGTGATGCTTATGCCTTCCACAGATATTTCACAGATATCCCTCCTCAAGGGATACAAAATCCTTTAATGCACTTTTTATCACCTTTCTTTATTGCCCTTAGTCATTTCAACTACCCACTTTTAGAGGCTAAAGACTAATTGTAGTTCTCTTTTATTAAATTCCCCAGCCAAGCAGTCATCTGGCACTATTGCTTCAGTGTGTCTAAACTGTGCATTCTTTGTTATTCACACATGCGAGCCAAGCTGACACAGGAGAACGAGATGGACATATGCTGAAGCACAAGGCAACCCCCAGAAATTAGCTTGAAAGGAGACTCAGCAGCTTGTGCATGTTGCATATTTTTTCAGTTAGATGCTAATGTGATTAAAATATCAGGACACAACAAAATTAAGGTTATGATCCTTTGCTTATTGAAGACAGGAATTCTTTCTTCTCTGTGTTGTGGATCGGGCTGGTAAAAGTGAGCTACTGCCTCAAAACCACATACAGCCAACTTCTGCATTCACATAAAGCACCCTGGTTACTTATTCTTATGAATCCAGAAAAGGTGTTTAAGAGAAATTACGCCAACAAAAAACATGAAGCTTCTGTCAGGCAAGCAACATTAATATGTATAAAAATCAAGTTTCTCCATTGAGCCATGGGAAGCAAGAAAAAACGTGGGAGAGGAGGTGAAGTGGTAAGTTGATGATTCAGACTTCACAATCAAATTTAGAGATACAGAGATCAAAGAGCGAGCTGTTTAGAAAGATGTAAATCTAAAGTCAGGAACAGGTGTGGATTAGTTTCTCGTCACTGAAAAATGATTTCTTTATTACTTTATTTTTCCTGTTCTACTTCAAGACCTGTATCTACCGATATTTGTCGACGTAAGGAGCTTTCTCACTTCTGTTTGCAACTACTGCTTTCTTTTCCTGCTATTTTAAGCAGAGCTTTAAAAATCTATCATTAATGATAACTCTTTCGCCTTCTCTCCCCCTCTCTCTCTCTCTCTCTCTCTCTCTCTCTCCCCCTCTCTGTTCTAAGTCTGGAAGACAAGTCTGGACCAATTTCTCCATCCTGCCTCTGGCAGCAGAATGCAGCATTTCAGATCCTCCACCGAGTCCCGGCTGCTTCAAAGGAAAAGCCCTACTTTCTTCCGTTAAGATCATAAGAAATATAGGGGGAGGGGGTCAGCTCTGTTTGGACATAATTACACTTCATCAAAAGAAGCTTTCTTCATCTTCCATGCGTGAAAAGTCTGCAAGCAGTTAAGTCTGTCTTTTTTCTTCCTTTTTTTTTTTCTTTTTTTTTTTTTTAAATATAAAAATTGCTATTTGGGAAACTAGCCAAAACTCAGAAAGCCAATATAGTAAAACAGTGCACACCCTTTGTTTTTCTTTGAAGTCTCTTAAATAAATATGTTGAGGGTTTGAAAAGTACACTATCACTTTTCCATAGATTCTACCCAGATTGATCAGAGAAAAAGTCTCTTCCAAGTCTGCTAGATACAAATATAAATTAAACTACTGGAACCAAACTTTAGGAGGTTTGTGTTTGTATGTGTCTGTAGCTGTATCTACTGAGGCTTTAGGCCCTCTCTTTCATTTCCTATGCTTTAATAAAAATTATATATCATAGGTTTCAAATTAAATGCACAGATCAGAGGTAGTACATCACATTTCAGTTCTTTTTCAGCACTACTGAAAGACTGATACTCTACTGAACTTTTACTGTAAGGCAGCAGTAGTGATGGAGCCAGAGAACTTTCAAACCTAATCCATCAGCAGAATAACAAAGCAGACGGGTTTTTTTCAAAGAAAGCAAGACAAATGGAACAGATAGGTAACACCTTATCCAAAAGGGCAATGAACTCCATATTTATATTGTACTAAAATTATTTTTTATTATCAATACTTTTTTAAGCTGCAAAATAATAAAAAGAATTGTTGGCTGAGTCACTAAAATAAAAAATAGCCTCTGTAAGCCATGCTTATGGACTCACTTTCAAAACGCACTTGTAAAAGCGTGCCGACTAATTTAGGCTATCTAGGCCTCTGTAATATGCCTAATTTTGAAGGGGATAAATACTCTTTCCTTCCTTAAGATGAATTACAACTGCTTTCTGAAGAATATTACTGCAAAATTAGCTTTATTGTTAATTTCCCAGCACAACTTTTCAGCCTCTGTTGCTCTGTTTTGCCCCATGCAGGGCTAGTTTAAAAAAAAATAATAAAATAAATAATTACTTCAAATACATAAAGGGAAAAATATGTAGGTTGAGTCAACAACTGATATAACAAACCCCTATTAAGACTCCTGCAGCAAAAACTGAAGTGCCAGCTTCCTTCGAGCTATCCTTGCAATTATTACCTGAAATTTGAAAGCAGCTATAAGACTCTTAAAGAGGAATTCTTACAAACCTGCAATGATTACAAAGGCTTTCTATGAGTGCAGTGCAGTTTCCAGATTATAGGAAGCTCCTAAACAGCTGGAAGACAATGACAGCACTCTACATCTTCAAAAAAAAAAAAAAATTCCTAATTGAAAGTTACCCTGTCATTTAAAGTAAAGGTTAAATTTAGTTCAAGTCCAAGCTTACCAGCAATTCATAAAAAGTCAACCAGTTTAGTAAAATTAAAAGTATGGCTTATTTTTGCAGGTCATATGCAGTTTGATTGTAAAGGGCAGGGGAGTCACTAGAAAGCTTTCCACCAATAGCTATAAAGCCCTTAAAGACTATAACTACAGCACATGTGATATGCAAAATCCCCTTAATTATAGGTGTTCTACAGCAGCTTCAGAAGCAGCTCTACTGCTAAAGGGAATTCTCCATCTCTCTCTGCCGTGGCCTGAGATACACTCTCTGACTCCACATAACCCAGATCACAAATACCTCCATTTCCTTCTACCTTTGCTGTGTGATTAAAACAGGGAAGCAGGTACTCTGCAAATCATTTTTTGAATATGTCTGATAAAAACGTACAGAGACATGAAGAGTCAGGAAAACTTCAGAGAAACTCTTGGCTTGGACAAACACTGCAGTTTGCACGTAAAACACACGTTCATCCCTCCAAGTGAAAGGCTGACAATGACGTATTTACAGATGGGTCAGCATTTCATTGCAAAGTAAGTCTGACATTTAGACATTGGTTTTACTTCATTATGGACACATAAAACGCAGCAGCCTACCTCTTCCACTTCTGCCCACAAATCGTAAGTCATTAAATCTGGCCACCTGGTTCTTCATCACAGCAGAAGCGTTTCGCAGCTCTGCAGAGTAGTTCTCATCGTTTCCAGCCATGACGGTGACCACTGTTCCATCAGGCACTTCTCCTAAGGCCACCACCTGTTAAAATGGGAAGACAACCACTACTCATGAAGCAACGCTTTGCAAACATGTGTCTCCATCCCAGCTTTGCACCCTGCCACGCTCATTACGAAGCTCTGCGGCAGCTTCTCCAGCCCGCTGTGGTGAGGAGTCATGTATTAGCTGAACCCAGAGCAAAGTGCCACATCAAACGAAGAAACATCTTGTATTGTCTCCCTTTCTCATGGCTTAATAGGGAGTTTCTTCTTTGTTACACTTCTCCAGAAACATCCAACATCCTTACATAGAGTGTATGTTTTAATGCTTCCTGAAGGCCAACTTTGTTCTTAGCAACCAGGGAAGAGCGAGAAAACATGAGGCATGGCTCCTACCCATAAATTATATGTGGGAGCACATTTGAAACAGAAAGTTTGAAATTACTATTAGCAGCCATATCACCCAGATTTGGTTCTACTTCTCTGCTGGTTGCAACCATCACTCTGACCTGGAAGCTCCTCAGACTTCAAGCTAAAGAGAAATCCCCATCTACCCATCCTAGGAGTGGCACCGGGGACATTAGCAAAGCTCTCCACCCAACACCCTGCTGCGATGGAGCACATCATGGCTGGAATTCAAACTCTTCAGATGCAATGTAAAATAAAGGCTGTATTTCCTCGCAGGCATGTAAATTTTCATAGCGCTCGCAAGAGTCGCATGTGGTTAGCGCTGATACCTCCCTCAAATTCCAGGACCGGTGAACAGAAGATACTAAAGTATTTCTCCTTACGTTTCAGCTGGCTGATAGTCTCACTTTTATGCTTCAGTGATTGTATAGTACTCCAACATCTGATTAGAGAAATGTCACAGAGCAGACAGCTCCTGTCTTGTAATTTAGAAACACCAGGGATACCTACAGTGTTATTGCACTGTGACTTTTTAAAGTAAAAATAAAGTTAAACAGGAATACGAAGTTACTAGGAAGAAAATAAACATGTTTCTTCATGAGGTAAAAAATGTCCACGAAAACATTAAGAAAATAATTTCCTTTTGCCCAGTTAGCTAATACTGACGCTGGAAATAAATTTGTAACAAAAAGAGATTCAAAAATATTGCATGGCTGAGCTCTAACTTGCAAAAAAAAAATAGTCTTGAGATAACAAAGTGTGTCCCCTTGCAGTTTCTACCATTCTACTAGATATGACTTTTTATATTATTCAGAGTAATTTATTCTGCCTCCTGACATATATATTACATTTTGTCATAAGCCCTGCTTGAAATGTCTTTCCCATAAATGATCCAGTCTGAAACTAATAATTGCAGGTTGCACTTTAATATTAATTAAGTGGAAAGGATGAGGAGTTCTGAATATATAGGGACAGCATTATGTGGCCCAGTGCACCGTACAATGTCTCTCTAAACAATAAAAACTGATGACAAAGCTATACAAAATCTGAAAATATTTAAAATAGACTATATTGCTGAAAATTATAGCTCATCTTATTTGAAAGAAAGATGAAAGAGAAAGAAGAAAGCACAGCTGAAACACTGTATAAAAAGGATCTACCCTGGTGCTTTTCTGTTTTTCCATAAAACACCAGGTAATATCAACCGAAACTGTAAACTGAGTTTTGCCACAAAATACTGTGAGGTCTCCCTCCCTATCTAAAGATTTTACTTTAAAGTGATATGAACGTCCCTGGACATAAAAACATAGGAACCACTGTTGTGGATAAGATCTGAGGTCCCACTAGCTCACGTCCTTGGGTCTGACAGCAACCAGGTCTGACGGCTTCAAAGCGAGGTGTAAGGAATCATAAATAATAATCAAATAACAAATAATAATCTGCTGAACAGATTACAGAGCTGACTCTAACCCTTAATAAATGGATATTGGCTTGAACTCTAAAGCATGGGGCTGGAGATTACTTATAAAACACTCCCTTCCCAGTTTGCGATAGACCGTGTTATCTCTGGGCAGTCTTGCCATGCACATTAGCATCCAGGGGAGTTGCAACCTCTGCTTTTTCTATCTCCCAAAACAAACAAAATCACATTAACTCCAGAAATGCAAAGAAGTCAGGAGAGCACAGGAGGAAGTGTGAGTCTGCCAGGGGCCTCGGGAGAGGGAGTGAAATGACTGCAGCCTTAGCTCACCTCCTTCCCTCTGGGTACCCAGAGCAGGGAGCAGGCAGCAGCATCACGTCTCCCTCCCAACCCATGTCCCGAACACGGGTTACAGCTCCCAACACCTGGGCAGGAGGGAGCAAAACCTCTTACAAGGCCTCCCAGTTCCCCTGTTGCTTTTCCTCCCTACCCTTTCCACTCGCCGATGTCAGTTCAATTTGTCATCAGCCTAAAATCGCACGTGCCGCTGCCAGAGTCACTGGGCTGATCGCGCCTAATCAAGAACGGTGGAGTTACTGAAAGGCGACGGGTTTTTGATGCAGGATGATGCAATATGGCTATTCGTCTCATTAGGAGAAGACCGAAGGAAAAGACAAACCGAAATCAGAGGTGAAAATAAAAACTTTGGCTAATCAAATAAAGTCCTGTTACATGGGAAGCTCCCCTGCTATGCAACAGGAGTAAAATGCTTCTTCTTTTCACAATCTCCTACTTTTTTCCTATAAAATACCAGAAGACTATTCCACACATACATAATAGCATTGGTTAGAAAAAAAGCTTTGCAAAAAGAATTCAAAACCTGGAGAAACACGCATCATCTTGAGAATTTTAAAAAGTAACTTTACTTAAAGACTGTTGGCATAAACCTTGATTTCGTAATTTTATGCCATGTATCAATCCAAAATTTTTTATATATTCTTAGAAGGAAGATCGTTAAGTGCACTGTGAAATGAATGACTGCGTAAAAAAATAAAGATTAAAAGTAGCCACAGTGCACATTCCTTACCTATTCTTCAAACATAAATATCGCTACTATTTAAAAATCTTTATTTTCCATACTAAACTACCTACACATTTTGGTGATTAAAGGTAGATTTTTTTAATTAATTTATTTTTTTTAACTAAAGCTCAAAAAGGTACATGAAGTCAGATGAAGCCACAAAATAAAACCAAAGCAATTCTTACAAGTTGAAAATAACTATGTATTTTTTGCATAACACAATTCTCGTCTGGTTAGGCAACCTGTTTGCCCAGTTTCGGTCCAGTGGGATTTGAACTGGCCAAAGTATGTACCCTAAAGACGGAAGTTATAAGCACGAAGCAAAACTACTATACAACAGCAGGTACTAAGACTTTCTGCACAGTAAAATGCTCGTTTTGAAAAAAAGAAAAAAAAAAGCTAGTGTACATACTGAATAGTTCCTCTCAAACATTGCTATCTACCACTTCAACAACTTCTTTTCTTGTGAAACACTGAATTCAAACAGCCTCTGAATGTAAAATCTTCCGTATTGAGAACGCCTTTTCTAAAGATTGCCAAAAGAGCATCTGATACTATTAAAAATATTTTAACGTTCTGTAACTTAAAACAGAATAACTGATTTGCACTACTTTTTGTTTCAAAATATACATCTGGGCTGACAATTTATACAGCAGGTTTCAGCTTGAAGCTATTTAAAACAGCTGAGTTATAAACTCTGAAAATTGGGGTTTGGAGTGGAAATGCTGACAGACCCTTAACTACTGTGGTGCTACTGGGGAGAGGTTTTAGACTTCACGTCCCTTTTTTTTCTCCCCGTCTTTAGGTCCACTAAGACTCTTCGCTACTCTCAGAATCATACAGAAACCACTTGTAACACCTAACGTGGCAATCTGGGTCTTTAGGGCTTTCAGTAAAAACTCCCAGGCAGACACACACAGAGAAGGCCAAATTCTGATGACTCTACCCAAATAAAGTACCGAGGGCAATCAAGATTAAGAAGTGAGTATGATTTGAACCCAGGTACACAAGATCAACTTCTTTTATGCTGGAATATGACTAGATAGTTAGAGCTATATTCATGGGTACCTGTCTAATACCCTTCCCCAGAAAACCAGTTTGCATTAACCATCTTACTAGTTAGTACACTCAACACGGACTCCCTCCCCAGTGTGTGTAAACAGTAATACTTAAAATTCAAATCTAATACTAAGCCAACACTATTTTAAAAAATTATAATCAAACCCAGCACTGTTTATAACATACTTCCCCTCCTGCATATGATTTATATCTGTTTTTTTAAATTAAAACAGTGCTATATCCAGAGTACTTTTTAACTAGAAATCTCTGCGAGAGAATTATGACACACTTAACACACCACTCAAAACATCATCATCAGCATATTATTTATTGCCAATAAAACTTCAAAAAGTGTGTTGTCTGTGAGCTATTTTACTTCAACTTACTGTTTAGTCAAGATTTCTACAGACTAAATCTGTCTTATTTTTCCTTTTCAGCGATAGTTCTCATTATGTTATATCACAGTCAAGTGTTTCACTGTGATACATGCAGCTTCTTTGGTCTAAAAGTACTGGACAGTTGCACACAAGTTACGTTTAAAAAATGAAATAAATTTTTAAAAATGGTCAAAATTATTTCAACTCAGTTTCAAATTAATTTACCAGTAAATAAGGGCGTGTATATATTTGGCATATTTTAATAAGTATGTATGTGAAAACACAGATGCACCCACAGCGGACGGGTGCAAGGGAAGATGTGTATTTCTGATATATCAGTAAATGGGTCATAACTACACCTCCCTGTCAGCAATCAAATATAGGACTCAAATATATGACATGTATAAATAT